TCCTTGCAGACGCTGCTAAATCCTGGGTGTCTTCAGGAACTGGGTTATGAGGAGGGTGGGACAGATTCAGATGGGGACTGAGATGTCTTCTAGGCTGGACAGGGACCTTAGGGCTTGGGATTCAAGTTACCCTTCCAACACTTGGAATGAAGGTCTCTCTCCTTCTCTTTCTCCCCCACCTCCTACCCCCTCCCCCGCCTCTCATTCAGGCTGGCTTTGAACTCACTATGTAGCCCAGACTGGCCTTGAATTCAAAGAGATCCTCCTGCCTCAGCCTCCTGAGTGCTGGGACCACAAAAGTGCACCGCCACCCCTGGCTATCTCTTCTCCGGGTGTACACTCTGACTTCTTGGCATCTCCCAGCTAGTCCGTATCTCATTCTATTTTGAACTTGAGTCTGTTTGGGGTATGGCAACCCTGAAACTGACAACTGAAAGTTTACACTTAGCATGCTGTCGCTTGCACACAGTAGGCCCCGTGGGTGTCTTCTCACTCCTGAGGTGTGGGTGTGCACTGAACCAGCATGGCAATGCCTTTGCCCAGGAGACAGTCTCTAAGAAGGCGCACTGAGGCCTGGCTAGAAGAAAGGGGTGGACCACATGGTCTCTGAGTTGTCCCCTCCCACCCAAGCTCTATGCTCTGTCTCCATAGCCTCCCTAGGCCTCTGGAGAGCCCTCTGGGCTTGGGCCTCGCTCTGTGCTCCAAGAGGGGATCTCTGTTGGGGTGGAGAGGGGCTGGGGTGAGCCGGTGGGGAAGGTCTGGTATCTGATGCCCTGACCTCCTAGGGGTGCTCCCTGCAGGCTGTGCTTTGGTCTGGCTGTAGGTCTGGGGAGAAAGGTGCCCCTTCCCCCTTGGCAGTGCCCCCACTACAACACCCCATGCCTTCTGCATTCCCCACCTCCCACCCCAGATCCCTGGGACAGAGCACACAGAGGACTGGAAGGGGCCGCAGGGCAGCCCGGCTGGCCTCGAGGAGGGCAGGGAGGAGGGTGAGGTTTATCTGGGCATGACCCTGAACCAGAGACTGCCTCTTGGCAATGCTTCCCCCACATCGGGCAACTTCCCAGGTCTCCCCTGTCCCATGGCTTCCCCTGGGACTTTCCCATCAGGAGGGAATTTTGGATCTGAGCACAAGCTTGGGAGGAGACTGCTGAACCCACCGCGGAGGTCCTAGACAATCCATCCAGTCCTGGCCCAGTCCCCTTGGGCCTGGTTCTTGGGGAAGCTCCTCCTTCAAAGATGCCAGCTTCTGAGAGACTCAGGAGCTGGCCTCGAGTGCCCCCCAGTCTGAGTGGAAACCCAGGGGTCCCCAGGCTGCCGCAGAGGAACACAGGATGAAGGCAAGACACAGACGTGAGCTCCTCCAGTGCGGCCCCAGCAGGCCGTCTGCGCTGGCCCTGACGTCCACCTCTTTCTTTGGAGGTGCCATGTCTGCCTGTCTCCCTGCACACTGTCTTGCTGCAGAGCCAGGCCTGAGGTGCTGCCGGTGGCACAGGTGGCATCGGGCAGGTGGTGCGTGTGGGGGAGGAAGAATGTGCCCGGGGCCTGGGCAGGATGCCACTGGACAGTTCCTGCAGCCCCACCCCCTCCCGTGACTGCTCACCCCACCTCCTGCCGGCTACAGCCCGGGCTCTTGTGCCAGGGTCACAGGTAGGTCCTGGGTTCCGGGTAGCCATCCCAGGGAGAGACCTGGCCTCCAGACATGAGGGGCACCTTGTGGACCATTAGTCACCGCTGTAACTGCTGTTCCATGCACACACACTGACCCTGGGCTGGTTTAGTTCATCTTGGCAGTTAAATGTCGTGTTACCCCATATTACAGATAGGGAAACTGAGGATGCTCAAGGAGATAAAGTCACTGATTGAGTGCGGCTTCTGGAGCAACAGTGGGTGGGGATGGGCTGGGGGGCTCCCCTGGGGGTCAGGGGACAAGCTGAGAGGCAAAGCGTCCTTTAGACCAAGGAGGAAATTGTCCCCTCAGTGAGGGGAATCAGATTTGGCTGGATGTGGGGATGACAGGGGCTAGGCCCACAAGACAGGAGCACTTTAGCCACCACCCACCCTGCCCAGAGGGACTTCCGCCCCCTCCACCCTCCCTTCCGGAAGCGGAGGGGGCAGATGAGCCCCTGACTTCAGCCTGGACCCTGCCAGGGTGGGGGCTCGGACCAGGGAGGAGGGAGGGCTCTGCCATCGCTCCCTCCTCCCACCTCCCTTGGAGGCTCATGCATCCCGCAGACCACCTACAAACCGCCCATTTGTGGACCACACAGCTCCTCTGCCCAGCTCAGCTCCCCACCCTGGCAGGCTGCACCCCCAAGCCTAATTACCACCCTGGCACCTCCGGGCTAGGGCCAGGGGGGCACTGACCTCTGTTTATGCTTGGAAATTTCTCGGGCACAGGAGGCCTGTTTTCCCTGGACATCAAGGGGCAGCAGCAGCAAATTAGAGACCCTCCATGGGTCCCCTCCGGTGGGTCCCTCCCGCTGCACAGCGCCCCGGGCACCGGCTGCTGGGCGTGGCAGGAAGGTGAGTTAGCAAAGAGACCAGCTTGCGCCTCCATCCTCCTGGGCACGGCTGGGCATGGAGGAGGCACTGCCCACCCCAGAAACCAGCATAGACAGGAATCAGAGACAGGCCTTTGTCTCCTTCCGCAGGCCGCATGACTCCCTCAGCCTGTGGGCCCCCGTTTCCTGGGGTGTGAAGGACAGAGCTGTCTCCTGGCTCCCCAAGGCCTCTTCCAGTTTGGGACCCTAGACCTCAGGGAGGCGACCCAGAGGGACCCATCGAGGGCCTCACACTGCGGAGGGACCCGAGGAAAGCCAGGGAGGCAGCTGCCGAAGGAGGGCAGGTGGTCAGGAGGGGAGGCAGCAGGCTCAGGCTGACACCTTGTCGCCGCTGGGTGCCGGGCACTGAGTGTCACAGCAGGGAGGGAGGGACAGACGTCACAAAGCCCCTCATGGATCTGCAGCTGGTGTGCCCTGCCGACCTGGTGTCACTGGGAAGTCCTGGCGGCCACAGGGACAGTCTGAGCCCAGCGCCCAGCGTCCAGCGTCCAGCGTCCAGCGCCCAGCAAGGGGCTTGGCTCAGAGGCGCCCCACAGATGCTGAAGGAATGTGGAACAGCTGCAGCAGACCGAGGCTGACTCGGATACCTGTGGCTCAGGGGGCGGCGAGGTGGCAGTCGGTGGGTTTACCCTCAACAGGCAGGCCTGAGCCAGGCCCGGGCCCAGGGGACCAGGGCCACCAGGGCTGGGCCGGGGCGGATGAGGTGGTCTCTGCGGGGTCCCTCTCAGGAACCCACTCTCCCCCATAATTACTTCTGATTAGCTTCACCACAACAGCCAGGCTGGAAAGAGAGGGGCGTTTGGGACACAGGGCCGGTGGGGGGAGGATAAAGTGGAACAGAACACTTGGGACAAGCCAGGGCCCCCAGCTGAGCAGGCACACATGCACGCGCGCACGCGCACGTGCACCCGCACACCCTGATCTACACGGACCCCTTAGTCCTGAAGGCGTCCTGCCCTAGTTCCAGGAGAGAGGGGGTGCTGCTGGGGGGGGTGGCGTGGACAACAGGGGTCATGAGAACACTGCAGGCAGGGAGGGCGCTAGGCTAGGGCAGTGTGGCTGCGCTGTTCTCACTCAAGTCTCCCAGGACCGGTGGCTTCAGCTGCCAGCCTGCCTGGACCACGCTCTGCAGCCAGACGCCCCTGCCTGCATCCACGCTGAGGGTGCTGGGCTCTGACCTGCGGCCGGACCCTTCCTCCCTGTCCCTCTGCAGTCAGGCGCTCCCAGCCCTCCAGACTCACTCCCCAGAGCATCTCTGTGGGGGAAGGGACTCAGCTGGGAAGAAGGTGACCCCTCTTCCGGACTGGGCAGGGAGAGCCATGAGCCAGCACTGGGGGACTGTGAGAAAGACAGGAAAAGAGGGGACATGGCCACTTCCAACCAAGCCTCATCTTTGGAGAAACTTTCTATGGAACCAATAATAGTATTAGCTAGCCATTTATTTTTTATTTATTTGTTTATTTATGTAGTCTAGGCTGGCCTTGAACTCACTATGTAACCTGTGCTGGCCTCAAACTCAGCAATCTTCCTGCTTCAGCCTCCAGAGTCAGGGTCATAGGCATGCACCACTACAGCCGAATTAGTCATTTTAAATACTTTTTTTTGAGACAGGGTCTTGCTGTGTAGTTCAGGCTAGCGTTGAACTTACTATGTAGCCCAGGCTGGCCTAGAGCTCACAGTGATCCTCCTGTCTCAGCCTCCTGAGTGCTGGAATTAGAGGCTTGCACCATCACACCTGGTTTAAATACTGTTATTCAGCTTGGTGCAGCCCATGGTTGTCCCAGTTACTCCAGGGAGGCTGAGGCAGGAAGATCTCCACCCTAGGCAGCACAGTGAGAGGTGGCTGAGTTTGTCTCCACCCCTAATCATCCGGTTTCCAAGCTTTACAAACAAGCTTCCTTCCCCCGGAAGCCCATGCTGGCCATCAGCGAACTCGGTGTCAGGGCGGCCGCACCACCAGGTACTTATCCTCACCAACCCCTGACCTCAGGGGCCCTCGGGTACAGAAAGACACAGACCTGATATCAGTTCCCGGCCAGCCCCCTTCCCATACCCTCCCAGAGAGGAGAGCGAGGCTGGGCATTCCCTGCGTGGCCAGCAGCGGGGGACTGCCTGGAGGAGGCGGCACCCGGCCCGGCGGCTCCCACGACCCGGGCAGGGCCGTCTAGGCGCCGTCTCCGATCCTGGGCTGCGGTCGGGGCACCGCGGGGCCGCGTTTGAGCCGGTCAGCTCCCCGCGGAAATTACAGGGGCGCTCGCGCTGCGGTCGCGCCCCCCGGGGCAGCACCGCTGGTTGGAGGCGTTTAAATTGAAAGCAGCTTTGGGGAGAGGGGGCGGCCGGACCGCGCGAGCGGGGAGGGGGCCCAGCACAGCGACCCCATTGTCTGCGCGCCCGGGGCGGAACCTTGCGGTGAGCGCGTACTAGCGCCCCTGCCGCCGGTTCCCACGGCCCCTCCCCACCGGGCCGTCCTCTGCAGACCGACACCTCCTCCAGGGCGCTTTCCGGAGTGTGCCTGCGCTGTGGACTGTCAGGAGATGCGGCCCGAGTCGGCTAACAGGCTTGGTCATTTTGGGGATCTCCTTTCCTCCCTGGATCCCACCGGCCTCTATAAAAACGTAGCTACTTCGTCTGGGGGTGCCTAAAACCTGTAATCCCAGGACTCTGGGAGGCTGAGGCAGGAAGATCACAAGCCTTTGAGCCCACCCTGGCCTATTTAGTGATTTAAAGAGACAACGTCTCAAAAATATAAAAAAGGCTGTAGCTGTAGCTCAGTGTGAAGGTCCTGGGTTCAACCCCCAGTACCAAAAAACAAGCAAAGGTACGTCTGCCCCCTGCCTACTTCTCTCTGGGCCATTTTGAGAATGATTTGAGCCAATATATAGAAAAGTGCTCTGAAAATTGTAGGGCCCTGCAAACATCCACCAAGTCCTGTAGAATCCTCCTTTCTATGCTTCGCAGGGGTGCTGGGCTGAGGTGCTGGGCTGGGTCCTGGAGGGGAGCGGGGAGGTAGCCAGCAGAGCAGAGGCTGGGAGGCTGGGGGGCTTGGGGGAACTAGCGTGGACTTCTTGGAGGAGAAAGGGAGCAAGGGAGGGAAGGGAGAATTTTGAAAGGAGAGAGATAAGCCCAGTGTGGTGACGCTCACTTGTAATCCCAGCACTCAGGAGGCTGAGGCAGGAGGATTGCCCTTTGTTTGAGGCCAGCCTGGGCTACTGCTTAGAAAGACTTTGTCTAAAAAACAAACAAACAAAAAACACCACACAAGATAAATGAAAGGAGAGAGATGTCTCCACCTCTTGGGCAAAGGTGAGGAGAAGGAGGACGGGAACCAGGGAGGGAAGGCTGCGGCAGGTGCCCAGGCTGAGTGGCGTGCCTCTGGGAAGGCAGATGGGGGCAGGCCCTGGGTAGGGGGTGGCTGTGCCTGTTGTTACTGGGAGCCTGGGGTGTCCCCCTGTCTTTCTGGCTCCTTTGCCGACGGCTGTAGGCACCCAGAGATGTCCCTGGGCTCCAGGCACCAGGTGCAGGAGCTGCGTTTGTTATTCTCGGTGTCTCCCGCAGTGGGCGCTTGTTTGTCAGGCTGGTGCCCAGGGACATGGCCACTTGTTCACTGCCTGGTGGAACCGCGCATTTCGCCACTTCCTGGAGTCCCCAGAGGGCACCCGGGTACGAGGGCAAAGCCCCTAGTATCAGCTGCTGTGGGAAGCAGCCGCGTCAAGCCTTGAACTAGGAGCTCTGAGCTTCTGCGGATGAGGAGCCTGTAAGGTTCCGGGAGGCGAGCCGGGCTGAGGAGCAGCTGGAGGGAGAGACTGGGGTCAGGGAGAAAGAGGGGCTGCGCTGGACGTATTTTATTTCATTTTATTTTTTGAGATAGGGTCTTGCTAGGTAGTTCAGGCTGCCTTGAACTCACTGTGTAGCCCAGGCTGGCCTGGAACTCACGGCGATCCTCCTGCCTCAGCCCCGTGCCCCAGTGCTGGGACTATAGGCATGTGCCACCAGGCCTGGCTATGGGCTAGGGGTTTTGTCAGAGGTGAGGGCGCTGTCGGAGTTCCTTCTCCTCTCCGCATCTCAAATCCCTTCCTGCCCTGGACCCAACTTCTCCTAGCCCAAAGCTTCTCCAAGGCCTGCCCCAGTCTTGGAGCGGCTAGGGCTGGGCTGGGGGCGTGGCCCGTTCTTCTTGGCTCCGCCCAGGGGCGGGGCTTCCACCCTGGGCAGAGCAAGGGCGCTGTGCTCCTCCAGCCAGGATGGGGAAAGCCGAGGGCAGTGACCGCACGGCCAGCCCTGTAGGGAGATCTTGGCCTCCAGGTGTGGGGTACCTGGACAGCACCTCTCTAGGGCTGGTGTCCCTCCTGGAGGGCATGGTCCTTCCTTTGGAATAGCTCAAAGCATCTGGCCAACCAATTGCATCCTTGGCCATCTATTTCCCTGGGAGCCTGGCTCAGGAGTACCCTTCCTTTTTTACTGGGGGACAGCAAGCTGACCCTTCTGGTTGCACCCTGGGCTTCGAGCAGGAGGGAAAGGGTCCTGAGCTGAGGCCTCTCCTGGGCCGCACCTGCAGAGGCCACCAAGGGCTCTGGAAGTGGGTAGTGCAGGGCACGGATGGGAAGAGGCTAAATCACCTGCTCGGGCCACCCAGCCATGGAAACGTCCCTGCACGGGGGCCAGGGAAGCCCCGTCACAGCGGAGTCCTTGCTCTCTGGAACTCAAGCCTGATGCTTCTGGAGAGGCCAGGCTGGAGGCCAAGGAGGGGCCCCAGCAGGTAGGACTGTGACAGTCCAGGTGGCCTCTGAGTCCTCTGGAACCGAGACTCTGTGGTCCCAGGAATCTCTGAGCAGGACCAGGATCCCCAGGTACTGGAGTCACGGTGGTTGCCATTATGCTGATAGCACAGGCACTGTGACAGAGTGGCATGTCCCTCTTCTAGCCACCCAGGGAGAAAATAGAGGAGGCTGCATGAGGCGGAGGACACTTGTCGCCCGGGAGCCGGGGGTTCTGGGTTTGCCCAGCTGCAGAGCTGGCTCCTGGAGCTGCTTCTCTTTCATGGCCTGGGCCCTGCGAGTCACCAAGTCCCTCGTCTGGTTGTGGCTCTGCACCTGGGGGAGGCGGGTGCACAAGACCACAGCCACCAAGTTCTAGGAAGGGTCTTGCAGGGTGAGGATGGGCAAGCGAGGCCACAGAGGGAGAGAGCAGAAGAGGGGATTTGGAGATGCTCAGCGTGGCCATGCTGGGATATCAGGGTGGACACCTGGGGGAAGAGAGGGTTAGAAGTCCTCTGGGGCAGTGGGCAGAGGGTGTGTGGTTTGGCTGTGTCTGCTGCACCAGCCCATGGGCACCTGTGAGGACTCACCCCACGCTGTCTGGGCTCTCGGCAGCTCTCTGAGAAATTCCCTGGCATGCACCATCCATAGCACAGCCCGGAGGCCACTTCCAGCTACTCCCCGGCAGGTGGGCAGGCAGAGTCCCCAGGAGGCCACCCTCTCCCCCAGGGCTGATTAGCCTCCAACAGCTGGAGCGGAACATCTGCGCTTCCCCCAGGGACGCCTGGCCTTGTCCCCCCAAAGGTACAGAGCAGCACTTACCCTGTGTCCCCACTCAGGGGACAGGGCTTCCTTCACAGGCATCCTGCACAGAGAGGGAGGAAAGGCACCTGTAGTGAGTGCCAGCCTTCAGGCAGGTGGGGACGTCACCATGCTCACCTTGCCCAGGGGAAAACCATGACAAAGTCCCACAGCAGTTGCAGAAGATCTGCGCGGGTGGAGCTGGCCCCTTTGTGGCTTGAAGGTACTGGGCTGGAGGTCTGTGGCCAGCAGGCCCTTTCTGCCGCAGCCCGGACTCTCACTCGTGGGCTTGTCCTCCGAGGAGCCCAGATGCCACCAAGGAGTGGTGGTTGTTCCCTGGAGGGGGCAGGGCAGTGTGGGGGGTGCAGGGCACCTGGGCACAGCCCCTCCCTGCTTCCATCCATGCTGTGTTTTTAACAGCTGATCCTGTGGCCCTGTAACAGCCATATGAGCAGGTCCTGAGGCTCTGTCCATTATACAGGTGAGGAAACCAGGGCTCAGGTAGGTGAATTGCTTCCTCAGAGAGACACAGCTGCCGGCGGTGAAGGCTAGATGCTACCCAGAATCCTCTCTGCTGTCTCCCACCTTGGGGTCGCAGTTGTTGGGTGTGTGGCTCTATCTGCCCGACCAGGGTGCAGCTGGACTGGGAGAGCAAACCTCCTCCTGCCCACCCCCAGGGTCCGAGTCAATGACTAATGGGTACTTGGCATTTGGAAGGTGGCTAAAGCAAGCCTCACATTCTACCTTTTGCTTGCTGTGCGACCTTAGAAAACTGACCTCACCTCTCTGGGCCCTGGAGTTGACCTTCATTGTGATAGAATTGACTTGGAGAGGTTCGCTGGCATCCAGAACCTGCTGTTGTTATCAGCTGGAGGCTACTTAAAAAGGGGGAAGGGCAGGAGCTATGGGCCAGGCTCCCCTCAGTGCTGATAAAGCACAGGGGTGCCAGAGCTGGGGACCCAGCAGGTGCCACCGCGGACGGAGCTGGTCCCTTCCCTGATGATGTCCCCATCCTGAGGTCCCCTGGGGGCATGGTTCCCTGTGGACACCAGGGACAGGGCACTGCTGCCCCAGGGGCTGTGAACCCCAGCTCCGCCCCTGCCCTGCAACCCCTAGGCTGTGCAGGGGCAGGACCTAGAGAGATAACAACCTAGCTGGTAAGATGGGAGAGAAGGTGAACGCATGAGGGTATGGGCCAGGCTTCGGGGTGCGGAGTCTCACTAGTTCCAGCTGGATTTTTTTTCTTTTTTTGAGACAGGGTCTCACTATGTAGCCCAGGCTGGCCTTGACCTCACAGAGATCCTCCTGCTTCAGCCTCCCAAAGCAGATTACAGGTGTGTACCACTGTGCCAGGTTCTCATGTAAACTTTTACATCTTGCTCTTCCTCCCAGCCTCACTACCTCCAACCTGACCTTTTGCTGCAGACAGTGCTGCTGCTGAAGGAACTTGCTGTAAGTGTGGACTTCCCTTGCTCAGAAATCTTCCATGGCTCCCTATTGCCTGCAGAAGAACATCTAAACAGCTCAGTCTGCCTTTCAAGGTCCTCTGTGAGTGCCTTCCAGGTCCCTACCCATGTTGACATATGGCATTTCTCCACCGTCAGTGCCCCCACACCCCTTGCCAACCATCGTGCTTAGGAAACTCCAACTATGACTTTTGGTGTGGGTTCAGAAACTGCCTTCCTGAGGAAGACTGTGGCCAGTGTCGCTGGTTTCCTCATGGGCAGGGGCACAGTTCCTCCTGTTTGTATCCCTGGCACCCGGGAGCTGGTATACAGTAGGTGCTCACAAGTGCAGGCTAATAGATTGCTTTTGTCATCCTCTCAACCAGCAACTTCCCCATTTCCCTGCAGGTTCCTTGAGGGGTAGAACTGAGTTCTAAATGTAACTGTAAAGCCAGGCATGGTGGCACACACCTGTAATCCCAGCACTTAGGAGGCTGAGGCAGGAGGGTCGCTGTGAGTTTGAGGCCAGCCTGGGCTACATAGTGAGCTCAGGTCCAGCTTGAACTACATAGCGAGACCCTGTCTCAAAAAACAAAACAAAGCAAAACAAAACAGGAAAAAGGTAACTATAGCCTCAATGCTTTGAAACATTGACCTGCAAAATTCAACATTCAAAATGAATTCAGCAGCAGCCAGTAGTGGTGCTGACCACCTGTCATCTCAACACTCTGGGAAGCTGAGGCAGGAGGAGCACAAGTTCAAGCCCACTCAGGGCAACTTAGTGACTTAGAAAGACCCTGTCTCAAAGTTTAAAAATAGAAAAGGGGCTAAGGATATACCTCAGTGCACAGGCCCTGAGTTCAGTCCCCTCACAATGTAAAATAAATACAAAATAAATTCAGCAGACAGAGACTGGGCACTGGGGCTGGGGATTTAGCTCAGCGGCACAGCACCTGCCTGGCAAGCGTGAGGTCATGAGTTCGATTCCCGGTATGGGAAATAAAACCAAAACAAACAAACAACAAAACAAACAAACAGAGACTGGGCCCTGCTGGGTACCCATCCAGGCCAGGGGCCCATAGCAGGGTGCCTCATAGCGGAGGCAGACCAGAAACAGAAGGCCTCTCTGGCCTCCAGCCGCCACACTGGAGCTGCGGTCACAGAGCCCCAAGAGGGTGGTTCTCCCCCAGGGCCACCAGCCAAGGGTAGGGAGTGGGCTCGACCCTTCCCTGTGGCCCCCTAGGAACCCTTTCACCCAGTGCCCGCTGTGGCTCAGGGCCAACCGACTTCGATGGTGCCAGAAAGAGAAGTCCAGGTTTCCTCTTTAAATGACGGCAAACTGGGCTTCTTGTTTTATTGGGTGCCTTTTGATTGGGAACCCAGCTGACACCCCAGGTAGGTAATATTCATTTCTATTTTCTACATTTCAAGGACAGCTGGTTATTTCCTGGGCAAAAACAAAGCCAACTGCTCTTGAGGGGGATCAGGCTCATCTCCACCTTTTCTTCTTTTTATTTTTGAGGCGGGGGCAGGGTCGGAAGCTGGTCTTGAACTCTTTCTGTATCCCAGGCTGGCCTCAAACTTGTGGTGATCCTCCTGCCTCAGCCTCCTAAGTGCTGGGATTATAGGCGTGCCTTTTCTGAAACTGGCAATGTCCTGCCATTAGGGTTGAGTCCTTGGCATTCCCAGGTTCCTGCCCAGTGCAGAGAAAGGTCTCATCCTGCCCTGCCCCGGAGTCTGACTGGGTCCCTCCCGGTCTCCCCTGTCCCGTGGACCCCAGCTCCAGGTCTGAGTTCCTGCCGACCCCACTTCCCCGCTCACCTGCTTGGCCTCTGTCCGGACGACACCGTGAGGTTACCCTGGGGTACAGACCTCAATGGGGGCATTGTTCCCACCTCTTCCAGAGGAGGATCAGGGAGCGGACAGGGCAGAGACTGGGAATGTCCCAGGTGCCACACAGGCTGGCTTTGTCCTTCTAGTCCTCCCTCTCCCTCCCTGCCTCCTACCCACCGCTCCCCCCACCCCTCCCTGGGCCCCTCCATAGTCTCTTCCATAGCTTGTGGCAGTGCAGCTGTCACAGGGATGGGGTTCGGCGTGGCCCTGGGCACTAGTGTGGGAGCGAGGTGTGCCCTCTTCATGATAAGGAAGCTGGGCTTTCCTTGACTAGGCACAGCTCTGCATGCCCAGTTTGTCTGCATGGCAGCCCTATCCGGTCCTTGTCCCAGGCCTGTCCCCTCCCTCCATGTACCTCCTGAGGGGCCCCTAGGAGGCAGGACAGGCTGACCAGAGTGCCCAGGGCCAAGAGCCAGGGCTCCTGGGTTCAGGTCCAGCTCTGTGCGACCTTGGCCACCTCTCCCTGGAGGCTTCCTGGGTCCCGTCTGTAAGGTGGCTGCCTTGGGCCACTAAGCACCTGCTGGGCTTTGACCTTGTGCAGCTGCCTCTTGGGAAGTGGAGACGCTGCTGGAGACTGAGCCGAGAGAAAAGACCTCCCAGCCCGGCCCCTCCTCAGCCCCTAGCCCAGGCTTTGTCCCCAGAGGAGAGTGACAGCCAAAGAAAGCTAATGGAAGCCGCCTTGCTGCAGGTGACACTGATCCCCAGCTCCAGATCCAGTTTCTGCCCTGGCGGCCCCCAGGCCCCCGTCACACCTGCTCTGGTCCCTTTGTTCCCTGGGCCCGGAGCACGGCTGTCTTTCATCCACCTCCTGCACCATTCATGCCCTAAGCCCGGGCACCGCCTCTGGCCTCCTGGCTGGGGGCAGTGGCTTCAGACTGGCTGGGCGGGCACCCGAGCGGAGCTGCGCGGGCTCTACTGTCCCCTGCAGAGAACACAGGGAAGGAAGACAGGGTGCACAGGAGGAGGGTGCTGTGCCCTGCTAGATGCAGCAAGTTCTCAGCTCTCGGGGATTTGCATCTTTTTGCTGTAGAAAGTGCAAATGCATCAGGGCTTCTTGGAGAGGGGCCATTCCCCCAAGTCTTTGGGGCCTGTTTAAACCCAGTGGTGCCCTTGAGCAGGGCGCTGGGAGAGGGAGAGGGAGTCCCCTCTGGACCGGCCAGGCCCGTTCACGTATGTGCTCCTTTATTTATTCATCAGGTATTTATGAACTTAGACTCTGAGAGGACCAGTCATGGGTGCTTGGAATACAGCTGGAAGCCCCAGCCCTGTCCTGAGAGGTGTCGGGGAGACACAAACAGACAGGACGCTAGTTGCTTATAATTGCTTAGGAGCAAAACTGAAATGGGTGAAGGGACAGGGAGTGACCAAGTGATATTTTTGATAAGGAGCTCAGCAGGCCACACTAAAAAGGTGACACTTGAGCAGAGACCCAGGTGCAGAGCTGAGGGAAAACACCTCAGGCAGAATGGACAGTAAGTGCAAAGGCCCTGCGGTGAGGATGGGGCCTGTCCCTGTTCAGAGGATTGCAGGGAGGTCACAGGGGCAGGAATGGAGTGGAGAGGGCAAGGTAGAGGAGATGAGTCTGGAACTAGGTCTCCTAGGGTTTGTACACTGGCCGGGACTTTTGACTTTATTCTGAGTTAGGAGGGGGAAGAACACCAAAGTGATCCTTCTCTCAGAACCCCCTTCTTTCTTACTGTTCTCCAGGACTAGGTGGAGGTTAAGAGCTAAGTTTTGGGGTCAGACAGACCTAGATCTATCTATCTATCTATCTATCTATCTATCTATCTATCTATCTATCTATCATCTATCCAGCTATCATCTATTTTTGTCTATCCATCCACCCACCCACCCATCTATTTGACAGACACACACTGCCTGCCTACTGTGTGCTTGCTGCTGCCACTTCCTGGCTGAGTGACCTCGGGTCACTAGCTTACTGTCTTTATCTGTAAAGTGGGGTCAGCACTCATCCTTGAGTCTCATTCAGAGGCTCAAGGTCAAACAAGACCGAGTGCTCAGCTGCTTCGCACAGTACTGGCATAGGGAGCGCTGGTGCCTCCATGGCTGCGGATGCCGTCGTCTTCACAAGCTCCGCTCTGAGCCTCTGTGCTCCACAGCCCGTCTCCCTCTGCCCAGCTGCCCCACACTGCCCCGCGCCCCAAGTCTGGTACCCGGCCCTCACAGAGCCCTTTCTCTAGGCCTCCCATTCTCGCTCACCCACTCTGCTTCCCCCCTGCATCTGTCTGTGGGCCGCAGCCTGGGGTCACTCCTCTCCTGCAAAGCAGGCACCCATTGGCTGGTCTCCTGAGCATACAGACGCCCCGAGACGGAGCGGAACCTTCTGGGGAGTGAAACCTGGGAAAAGCCCAGGCTTTGAAGCCCCGAGACTTTCGGAATCAGACCTGTTGGGCAAACCCTGGCTCCAGATCTGGAACCCGGCAAGTCACTTCCGGTCTCTAGGCCTCCGTTTCCTTGTCTGTGGAAGGGGACGGAAACATGGCAGAGCTGTTGGCGGATGGGAGCGTGAGGAGCACTGCACGGGTCGCTGTCGTGGGTGAGGAGCCTGGATTCGCACCCCTCCCGAGGCAGGCGGTCTGGAGAGTCCCAGCAATCCTGTTCACACGTATGTGCACTTTTGTCTGGAGTCAGGAGCCAGGGCTTTCTTCAGATACTGCGAGGGGTCCTGAGCCAAAAAGATGAGGAGACAGCATGGCCACAAGCTGAAAAAATGTTCTAGAATGTTCAGTTGAGTCCATTCATTTTTCAAAATTCGTTTGTTCAGAAAACATATGTTTGATATTTACTCTGCACTCAGTCAAAGACACCCACATAGCTAGGTGTGCCGGCCACACTTGTCATCCCAGCACTCTGGGAGGCCGAGGCAGGAGGATGGCAAGTTCAAGCCTAGCTTGGGCAACTGAGTGACTTAGTGAGACCCTGTCTCAAAAAAGGAGCTGAGGCTGTAGCTCAGGGCGAAGGCTGCCCCCACAGCTTCCGGAGCACCTTGTCTGAGCCGTCTCCACTGCTCTCTTTTGCTCCCCAGAGGGAAAGGCGGTCCAAATGGGGGGCACTGTCTCAGGATCAGCGCACAGAGATGCTAGGGACTGGCCCCACACCACACAGCGCCTCCTCCTGCATGCGCGCTGGCTGGTCGGGGTGGACAGCCACTTCCCCCGGGTCCCCTCTCCCGTCATCGTTGGCGCCTTTCACCCCCTCTCTCTGTCCACAGGCCTTTCACTCCCTCTCTCTGTCCACAGGCCTCCTGCACCCGATGCCAGGGACTTGGCCGTAGCTGGGATCTCTGCTCACTGCCCTCCCTTTCTTCTTCACCAGAGCTGAGCGGTGTTGGAAGAGGCAGGCTGGCTTTGGCGGAGAAGGTGTGTGCGTGTGAGAGGGGTTCTAGACAGAGGCACCTGCCGAGGGACGGTCCCCATGCACGCACCCCTGTGTCTCTGATGCTGCTGTGGATAAGCCAGGCCCCGGCCCACGCGAAACTGCGCACACACCTGCAGCTCTAGGCGGTCCCCTTGCTCCTCGTCAGGAGCTGGCCCCGTGCCCGGGTCCCAGCCCAGGGCGCCAGGCCGCGGCGAGGGGCGGGAGGCCCCACGTGTTCCCGTATTTATTTATTTATTTATTTGAAGGGCCAGCATTTACACAAACCTGGCTCTGCTTCCCCCCGGGGCCGGGAGGAGGGGACGCTGCTGCCTGGGCCTTTGATGTCAGACAGGAGAGATGGCGAGATGGTGGAGATGGTGCTGAGGAGTCGCTGTGCTGTGGGGTGTGTGCGTAGGGGGAGCCTGGTGATGTCACCTCCCTGGGCCAAGGACAGCAGGCCCCATGGCCTGGCCTGGGGTGACTGGAAAGGATCAGAGGTGGGAAAGAGGAGCGAGGCAGACTGGGCCAGAGCCTCAGTCTGCAGCCTGGCTGCCCCCCCGCCCCCCCCCCCCCCCCGCTCGGGGCTTGGGAGCACACACATCCCCCAGGGAAGAGCCCACAGAGCAGTAGAACTTCCTCCCACAGGCTAAGGGGGCCGTTGTCCCCCCCAGGACGACATCGAGGACCAGGCCAGAAGCTCTCACCACTCACTGTTTCCTCCCTAGGCCCCCAGGGTGATGGGGGGCTTGGTCATGACCAGCGAGAGAGAGAGAGAGAAGGCGGATGGGAATGTTGACGGGAATGCACAGACAGGGGACCTCAGTGCACCTAGATGTCCCCCATGGGTGACAAGTGAAGAGAAATCCCGGGGAGCAGCACCAAGGGGCCACACTGGGGAGGGATGTGGGGCAGCTGCTGAGCACCTGTAATCCCGGCACTTGGGAGGCTGAGGCAGGATTGCTGTGAGTTCAAGGCCAGGCTGAACTACATAGAGAGACCCTGCCTCAAAAAAAAAAAAAAAAAAAAAAAAAAAAAAAAGGAAAGAAAAAGAGTAAAAAAGAGGGGCAGTTAAGGCCAACAAGGCTGGTCAGTGGTCCTCTTTAGTTTTGTTCAGAAAGGATTTCAAAAGGTACAAATGTGGGAACAGTACAAAGAAGTCTTGTACCTTGCACATGATTGACCAACTGTTACTATTTTTGCCTGTTTACTTTTATCATCTATCTATCTATTATATATCTATCATCTATCTATCATCTATCTGTCTATCTATCTATTATCTATCTCTCATTTATCTATCTATCTGTCTGATACTTACATGTGCTCCCCCCGAGTCATTTGAGGTACACTGCATGGATTGGGGTCCTATACCCCTGAATAGCTCCGTGTGTATTCCCAAGGATGGGAACAGTCTCTTCCCTAATCACAGTGTAGTTATCAGTTTCATTAATTTGCACTGACAAGATCTTTTATCTAATCTACTGCCCATATCTCCACATTTCCTTTTTTGCTTAATGTGTTGCTTTCAGTTTTATTTCTGCGTCTGCGTCTGCGGTGGGTGATGACTGCACTCACCACGAGAGCCGGTGCCTGCGCCGGCACACCCTCATTCCGTTCCCTGCTTGTCTCTTGGTCCTCTTCCCAGCATGCAGACACCCTCCGATTTTGTCACTTGGCCTAATGAGACCCTGTAAAGGGTTTCTCCCATCCCCAGCAGCTCACAGCAGCTCAAGAAGCCACACAGGGACAGGGAGAGGGACAAGCTGTGACACCCTGGCTTTCACTTTGCAGACTTGACAGGGCGAGGGGGCAGCCCAGCATGGACCCCTCGGCCACCAGCATCAGGTGTCACTGCCTCGTAGCCCCATTCCCCTTGTGCCCTGTGGCCCGGATACCCACTCTCAGCCACCTCAGGAAGCTGCCTCGTGTCCTGGCCCCTGAAAATCCTGCTTTGGGGCTCTACCGCCATGTCCTGTAAATCTGTCTGCTGCCTTCCCTGGCGCACACTCGGCACGGGGGTGGGGAACGGGGCCAGAGCACCACATCAGTTGTTCCAGATGTTCCAGCTGGCAAGGGCCAGGCTCCACAAGGCCAATGGTGACCAGTAGGAAAGAGGTGGCCCAGTCCCAGGGGGCCTCCTGGACTTAGGACAGTGGAGTCTCCCTGGAGCACCCCTACCCTGCCGAGATCCTCCTCTTGCTCCTCAGCCTCTTCTGGAAACAACCCCCTCCCCCCTGAGGGCCCTGTGTGCACCCTCTGGTTCTGGATGGAGGTGGGCTTCTCTGCGTCCTCCCTGCCCACTCCTGGAATGGTGCCGGGTGCCCAGAAGATATCAGTACCTCTTTGTGGAATGAAGGAATAAACCAACCAAGGAACAGTTTTTCTATCTATTTTTGAGACCAAGTTAGCAATTACCGCCATGGTTCTAGGACTCCACCAGACCAATCGTCGGGTGGCTGATGGAGTCTTGTGCTGCATGCAGCGCAGGTTCCAGCCTTTGGCCAAGCTTAGCGCCACTACGCACCACAGAAAGAGCTGGACAGGGGGCAGCGCCCGCCTGGTCTTTACGCCAGCTCAAGGCCCAGTAAGTGGGCTCACAACCAGAGGACGCCCAGTTCAACATCAAGGACCTCTGGGTGTATTTTGGTGTGTCTTGGATGGCTTCATTGTCAACCTGTCTAGAGGCAAGCGGACGTCAGGGGTGCTTTCTGCATCCTCCCTTTGGGGCCCCCCAGGCCCAGCCAAGGTTCTGCCCACCAAGCGTGGGTGGCTGGACCGTGGAGGTTGACTCAAGTCTGCGTCCTCAGTCTGCGCCAACCAGGCCAAAGGTGTCCCATACCCTGCTTGGTCTGGGATGGTGTCCAGAGCCTGGTCCCCAAGGTCCTCCCACCCTTGCTGGACAGCGGCCTCTCCCAGTGACTCAGCCCTGACGTCATGGGGCAAGCGGAAAGGCCATGGGCGTGGGAGGTGGAGGTCCCCTCCCTCCTGTCCTCACCTCCCTGGGCTCGGTCCCCATAGCCTTCTTCCCTTCCCACATCCCTGTCTTCTCCCGTGAGCCTCTGTGCCAGGCGCTGTCGCCCTTGGCCATGGAGACATGACCTGGCCGCTGTGTCACGTGTACACGACACAGCGACACGGTGTGCATCCACTCCCTCCCTCCTTCCTGCAGCCCCACCCTAAGGGGGGCAGTGGGCACAGCCCCTTCCTCTGGCAGCCTGGGGCATTCTCTGTTCACTTTAGGCCTCTCTTCACCACTGGCCTTGGATCCCCTTGTCTGCCTCCCTCAGCTGTTTGATCTCCCCCAGATAGAAGAGCATCCCTGGGTCCCACCCCCCTCACCCCCAGGCCAGGGCACTTGGCCTCCAACTCTGTCCTATTGCACCCCGCCCCACAGGCCCCCTCCTCCACCCCACTTCAAAGCCCAGAGCTAGCAGGAGCTAATTACATGCCCCCCACCCCCCTCGCTTGTTAAGTGTCATTAGCCCCAGTTTACAGATGAGGAAACTGAGACTGGGGAGGTGGAGGACGTCACCCCCTCCATCCCCACCCTGGCCCCTGAGCCAGGGCTGGCACGAGATCTGGGGGCCCTGCCAAGACTCCCCATCCTTGGAGGACCCGGGGACCTAGTGCCCACTTCCAGTTCCCACTGCCTGTCCCCCTCCTCCCTGCTCTTATCCCCTTCCCTTGGAGCCAGTGGAGGGTTGGGGCAGAGCAGGGAGTCCCAGGGTTGGGGTGGGCATAGAGCCACTCCGAAATCACACGCCGGCAAAATGCAAATGAGCCCCCAATTATTATGGAGTCAGGGTGAGGTGCTGCAGGTAATAGGGCTCCGGGAGTGGAGGGACCCCCACCCTCCCGCTCATCACCTCACAGAGGCTTCACTATGGGGAAGGAGGGGCCGTGCTCTCACTCTGAGGGGGCCTGGGTGAGCAGGGCAGGGCAGGCTGGGGGATGCTGACGCTGGCAGGGCCTCCGAGGGTGCCGCACTGGGGCTGTCAGCCGGGACAACCCTGCCCCGGGGACGCGAGAGCGCTGGCTCCCAGCTCAGGACAGCGGCTCTCTGTGGTCTGGGAGCAAGGCCAGCTCTTTGACCCTGTTTGACTTGCCCAACTAGGGCTTAGAGGGTGGGGGGATCTTTAAGACACCCTCTTTACAGACAGGGAAACTGAGGCTCAGACAGGGCACTGATTGGCCCAGCAGGGGCCACTGTGCAGAAGGAAAAATGGAGAATCTGGAGAGCTCGGTCAGTGAAAGCAGGGAAAAGCAAAAGCTGGGGAGGAGGGAGTGGAGGGCAGATGAGCACGGGGGCTGCAGGGAGAGCGCAGCACTCAGGAGGGTGTTGCTGTCCTGAGGGCTGGGAGCCCATGGTAGATTTCTTTCACGGCTCCGCTTGGCAGATGCAATGCCAGCCTACTACGGGAGATGGAGGTTGAGCTGCTCACTAGCTGAGGGTTTTGGTGCCAGTGACTCTATCAGTGCAGTTGAGGTGCAGGGCAGACTGTGATCCCAGCACTCAGGAGGCTGAGGCAGGAGGATCACCAAGACCTCATGGCCAGCCTGGGCTACATGGAGAGGTCTTGTCTCTAAAGAAAGGAAGGAAGAAAGAAAGGAGAGTTGCAAAGCAGAGAGGACCAGTCTGCTAAGAGCCCTCTGTCCTTTTGGCCCTATTCTTCTCTCTCACCAGGGAAAGATATGAAACTTCAGGGTCTTTTTGGCCTGGTGACCCCTTCTGCTTGTCCAGGGCCCGCTGAAGTGGCTGGGAAGGAGAGGACAGAAGGCAGCACACAGTGGGGGTCACTGTCCTTCTCTGACCCTCTCCTGTGTCCCTGTGGTGACACCTGCATAGAAGGACATCAGCAGGCCTGCGTGGGGGGGAATCTTGGGGTCTCTGTGACAGTCACATTCCCGAGCTCCGTGTCTTCTCCCTGGGGTGGAGGAGCCTTCCCTGAGTCCCCACCCCAGAATGAGTCTCCTTCCTTGGCTCATCAGCAGTGAACTCCTTTGTCCCATGGTCCTCCTGCCGGCACCCTATGGCTGTCTTCCGGCCCCTTCTGGCCCCTGCCGCCTCCCGATCCAGGCAGGGAAGGGTCAGGTGCTCAGCCGAGAGGTGGCAGGCTGCTCTCTGGCCATCCCCGTGCTGGGGAGATCTGGAGAATGCCTCTGTTCCCAAGAAGTTTGGTCTGGGGGCCGAAGCTTGGCCCTGGTCTCGATTCCCCGCTTGCGTGCTCTGGGCCTTAGGTGAGACATTTTCCCTGCCTGGGCCTCAGTTTCATGAGGTCCGCTGCACGGAGCCTGCCTTTGAATAGTTCATCAAATCTGTGCTCAGAAACTAATTTGGTCCCATCAGTGACCTCTTCAGCTCATCAGAGATGGTAAATCTCATGGCGACCCAACGATCTCTAAGCTTCTGCTGCGCAGCCTTGCTTTCATTTCTCCCCTCGGTGACCCGAACACAGAGCTGTGCCGTGAACAGAGACCATGAGGTGGCCACGAAGAAGGGTGCTGGGTGGGTACCAGGTGGGACGGGGCAGCCGGGGGCAGGGTTGGGGAAGTGGCCTCAGGGAGGGAGGTGAGACATTTCTATACCTGTAAACATATCAGGTGCCTGCAAGGGGGTCTCTGAGAAGTGTGGGCGGCTATCTAAGGTTAGTGGCAGGGCTGGGACTTGAACCCTTGACTTTTGACTCCTCAGGATGGCCTCTGATGCTGGAGGGGTGTGGAGGTAGAACCAGGCGGGAGGTGATGGAGTAGGGGGTCTCTGCTTGCCCCAGCACCCCTCAGCCTGAAAAAGGAGCAGAGTTTCAAGGCTCCCAAGATCTACGGGACGGGCAGCCCCTCTGGATGGCAAGGGGTCCCAGGCCATGAGGTGGCGGTGAAAAACCGGCGAAGCTGGCTGGAGAGGTCAAAGGGCAGCCGCTCTTTCTCCTGGTGTTCCTTTGAGGTCCTAGAGGGATTCGGAAATGGGGAGCAGAGACCCCTCCGCTGGAGTCCTGGGAGGGTGAAGGAAACCTCCCAGTCCATTCTGGGCTGGTCGAGACTGCCTGGAGTGGGGGCAGGGGATGTCTCCAGGCCCGAGACCCAAGAGGAAGACCGGGGGTGACAGAGACCGGCTCTCAGAGCCAGGCTACCTCCAACACCTGGTGTTCAAGGCGGTTACTTCCTCCTCCGCAGCCAGAGTGGTCATCGGGGCTGGCACTGGGGAGGGATGAGGGATTATACCAGGCCCCCAAGCCCTCAGAGGGGATTAAAGCACCCTGCTCTTGCGGGGCTAAGGGGCAGAGCCAAAGGGCAGGGGTGGAGGCTGGGATGGGGACACATCTGGAAAGTCACTGCGATTCATTCTTCAAGGGGCGAGGGCCAAGGCTCGGCCACTTCTCCAGACTCCACCCCTGACCCTTGTGGGAAGGAGGCCTTGCTTCTAGAGCTCTTCCCAGGCCACTCATAGGAGGTGGAGGGGAGCCTTGGGGTCTAAGTAACCCTTTTCTTGCCGGTTACTCTTTTTTTGGAGATAGGGTCTCTTGCCATGATGTCCAGGCTGGCCTTGATCTCACTATGTATCTCAGATTGCCCTTGAGTTTACAGTAATCTTCCTGCCTCAGCCTTCCAAGAACTGGGAATATAGACATAGGCCACCATGCCTCGCTTTTTTTTGACCTGTGACTCTCTAGACAGAGCCCGTCCTGAGAAGAGATCAATCACCCCCCACCAGCTCATCAAACTCGCAGTCCTTGTCCTGGGGAGACAGCCACCACTCCAATGGGGAGGTCAGACTCCCCCGTGCTCAGGGCATGGAAACAAGATGGCAGCAGGGTGAATGGTGAGGGGCTGGGGCACACAGCAGGACCAATAAACCATGGCAGCCTGCGCCAGGGCCCGCACAGCGGACGGGGAGGGATGCTGTGAACTTCCCTTCCCTGAGCCCACTGTGGCTCTGCCCAAGACCGGCCCGGCCCCGGCAGGATGGGAGGGCAGGGCTCAGAGTGGCCTCAGGACGGGGCTCCCAGGCGCTGCCTTCAAGGCCCAGAGAAGCGAGCTGAGAGCCTGGGAGAGAGCGTGGAGGAGGAAGACTGGAAGCCAGAAAGTCGGGCCTTAGTCCCGGCCCGAGGCGCTGAGGGGGCGGAGGGAGGACGCTGAGTCCTCCCGGGCACAGGGGAGGGCGGGAGGGATGCGGGGCCCAGAGGCAGGCCTGGGCCGGAGCCCCAGCTGCACTTCTGTGCGGTGCCCACTCCGGCCCACCCTGGCTCTACCCAGGGCCAGCCAGGCCCCAGCTCCCCCCAAGCCATCCAGCCAGCCCCCTGCTGCTGCCTGGAGAGAAGGTGCCGAGCCGCTGCGAGGTCGGCGCGGAGCCTTGGTGGGGGTTGATGGGAGAC